AACTTTCAAAATAATCAGCAGTCTTTCTTAGGTTAATAATCTCGCAATTTCTAAAGAAATCAATTGATAAAAACGGAGTTCCGCCAAACGAAAATCAATCATTAAGGGTTCCATGACTGAAAGAAATTGGGAACTGCTGCTCTATGTTAATAGATTCTCAAAAATAATTTTTTTTTTTTGTGTTCGGAGATTCTTATTAAAGAAAAATAAGAAAACTTGAAAATGGGAGAGATAAAAAACAGATTTGCTTATATCGATATTAATAAATTACTTCATTTATAAAATATAATTTCGTTATAATATTATAAATTAATGATTATAATATAATACATTATAATAAATCATAATCATTTCCTCTCGCATTTTTGAAAAATTCCAAGCAAAATTTCAGCATTATGTCTTACTTTCAGACACGACAGTAATTGCAGCCTTTGGGACATATATTCACTAAAAAAATACGCTCTCATACATTTTCTCACAAAAAACATCGTTAGCAGACTATTTTTTGCCCTGAAAGTAATTTGCGATACATTAATGTTAACGCTCCCTTTGCTTTTTATGCTCATAGTTGCATTTTACAAGCTCGTAAACTTTTGAAAACCTATATCATAAAAATGGAATCAGTGTATAGTATTTTCTTTAGAATCTTTTTTTTCCCTGAACAACTTATAGCAGTCGGTATCTTTTTAACACTATTTGGAAGGGGAAAGAAAAAAAAAAGAGTTTTTGTGCGGAAAAGTAACTAGTCAAAATAGAAAAGTTTTTGAAATGAGCCACCTGGTTCCTGTATCAGTCAGTTTATTTCGGAGTTCCGTGCTCTTAGTATTGTCTTCTTGTTATGTATGATTTATTTTTTGACCTTCATTTCTGTAATTCGTGAAAACAAGATTGGTTTGGATTCAATAGATTAGATCATTGAATCTTTGAATTGCTTACATAAAGGAAAATTATATAAATAAAGTAATTATAAAAATTTGCATTGTATTGGGTTGACTACTAAGTTTCCGCCAATTTTTTTAAAAATTTTAATATTCTGCATATTATTAAATGTTTTTGGCAGAACGTTTTAGATCATTCAAGGAGGATATATTGTTCCACTGGAAGCTATTTCTTTTTGTTGTTGTTTGAGTTGATTTATGTTATTTTCAGAATACTACACTCTCTTTGCTTTTAATAAAGGTTCTAAATAGAGTCCGTAGTCAAATTATTCAACAAAAATAAGCACTTTTCAAGCACTCAAAAAATATTTTTAAGCACTTTAAAAAATATCATAATTAGGCAGGGTTGCAAAGTTTTTGTCAATCGACGGTTTTATCTTGTTTTAACCGTCATATCTAAAAAAAAAAAACTTTTGGCATTGTTTTTGACAATTGCCAAAAATCATGAAATTTTGGATCATGTAAAACGAATGGCGTTCTCATACGCTACGGACTGACTATACGCCGAAATAGATTGGGGTTGAATTAATTATGAAAACGTTGAATAGAACAATGTGAACTGTGTCTTTTTGCATAATTCGAAGCGAAAATCAACACAGTAAAGGAAAAATCTCATTTTGAGAAGGGAAAATTAAGCACTTTTTAAAAACACTCAATGAAAAAAGGGCTTTTAAAAAACGAAAACCGAAAATAAGCACCTTTAAGCACTTTTTAAAAACGCTACGCACCCTGTCTAAGGCTGCAGAAGCTGCTCGTGACATTTGTGCCATGAGGGGAGAGGAGGCCATGTCTGAAGGGACGAAAAAAAATGGAAATTTTGACCTCAAAAATGCATCTCGTTCTGGCCATCTATTTGAGTTCGATGTGCACAGTTTTTGGACGAAATTTCGTGTCGAGCGACAGAAAACTGGCTGAGGAAATGGAATTCGCCCTTTATCGACATACTCCCTTAAAAAAAACTGCGACAATTTAGTTGCCTACCCATTATTAGGAAGAAAAAACTAATGCTATTATCCCATTATGCATGCAGATTACTCCCACTAAACTTCACGTTCATTTAATATACAAAGCAACTTTTCTTAAAAAAAAAATATTTTGTGTAACTTTTATATTAAAAATGAGAACATTTATCCAATTGAGATGCATGAATATTGACCAAGCGATTGGATTTTAGAATTACATTTTTTGCTTCCTTATTACCACCTCCAGATGCTCACGTCTGAAGCACTTTCTTTTTATTAAAAATAAATATTAATACACATGGATATATAGAAATGTGTTTTTTTTTAAAATTTTTTATAAAGCAACGTGGCTTTTTATCGAGCTCAGAATATGTAGGTAACATGGATGCGTACTAATTTTTGTAAACGCGTTAACACTATACTGAGTACATCTTTGGGGGGCTGATATCTAAACTATAATCATCAAAATGTGTGATTAGGAATTTTTGTTCTACAAATTTTTGTAATATTTAAAAAAATTCTTTTTTTCCGATGGAAGTTCATTTTGAATTAATTGAGTCTATTGCTAATTAATAAGTATACAGGGAAGGTAATTTTTATAATAAATGCATATTAAAATTTAATTCGTATTTATCAGATATTAATGCCTGCATCTCTACACATATTTTTTCCTTTCTCTTTTAAGATTTGTCATCTTTCAGTAAGCACGGGTCCCATAACTCCTATGTAGTCCGTTACTCTTTCCATTTTTTTTCGTTCTTTGGCATCATAAAAGTGTGCAACGTTTGATCATCTTAAATAGGTGTATGTAATGTCATTTATGTTTAGCTTTGTGTTGTCGATTAAGGATATTGTGTCATTCAACGAAATTCGCATTGTTTATTTCTTCGTAGAAAATGGGTTCTCTTAATTAGATTTTTTTTAAAGATTTTGCGATAATAGAGATTATTCTAAAATCGTATATTGATTATGGATGCAAATAAAAAAGAATAATGAAATTTTATTCACAAAGAACATGACTATTTATTAAAAAAAGATGATTTGTTTCGGATAAAATTAACTTTGTAACCCATTACAACAGCTTTTAGACATGTTAATGGGTTATCCCAGGGATGGGGAAACTACGGCCCGCGGGCCAACTGTGGCCCAACGCAAGGTTTTATCCGGCCCGCGGACAGAATTTTAACTTGCCGATCCGTGACGAATATATACAATATACATCCATTCTCTTGTCTACTTTGTATATAGCTATTTTTGTTCTTTCTTTTCTAACAAAGTACTGATAATCTTTTTACTTTCTCTATTTTTGTTCTACAAAACATAAATTGATAGAAATAGTTAGCGCAGACAGCTTCAATTGGTAAAATGTTGAAAGCAGAAGTTCTTTATAGAATAACCGTAGATTGGCTCCAACGAGCGTTTATCTTTCTCGAGGAGCAGACATATGGAATCTAATATAGGTGAATTGTACTTCACATGTGTCAGACTGCGCATTTTAAGCTCCAATGAGTGGATTTCTCTGCCGGCGAGAGTTCTAACATTATTTACTACGTATGGAAAAATTGCACACATACAACGTCATTGTAAATAATGGTGAAATTTTTAAATGTATAAAATGGCTACTACTTTTTTGACTTATTTGTAAAATGTTTTAACCCCAAAATGGCAACTAAAAAATGTTAAGTTCATGTAGAGTGCCATACGTTCAATGATGAATTGACTTCATTTTATTTTAGAAGTTCGAATTTTTATTTTAGAAGCTTTTACTCGGCCCACCAAACTTTTTCTCTCAATTTTTGGCCCTCGACCAAAAAAAGTTTGCCCATCCCTGGGTTATCCAATCTCGTCCGTACTAGAAAATAGTTATTTCATGACTAAAAAAAATATTCAATAAATTATTATTATGATTTTTTTATAATGATATAGCTGAATCATATTTGAATATAATTGGAAATGTTCTGAATTTATTCTCAGAATTTATGCTCTCATTGGTTATTAAAATTTTAAAAATTGTTCTAAAGTATATTAATAAAATGTATATTTTTCTACCTAGCCGCTAAGTTTATTCGTAAAAATGCGAATTTGTTGTACCAATTTGTATCGTTCAAAATTTTTATTTTGCCGTGAAAATATTGCATGCTTTGCAACTTATAACTGTTATTAAATAAAATAATAAAAAAAATAATAAATATTTATAAACTTTTTCTTTTGAAAAGAATTATCTTTAAGTAAACAAATTTTATATTTTTGTGTAAAAATTTATCAAACCTTTTAAAAAGTTCTCGTGATATTTTGAAATATGCAAAAAATAAAGTTAACATTAGGGAGTCAAAACTTTAGACGTTTCACTTGATCAAACTATGGGACCATATTTCCCTGATTGCGGATTTAAAGGTCAGAAATCCGTATCCGTCTAAACTTTAGACGTTTCACTTNGCAAAAAATAAAGTTAACATTAAGGAGTCTAAACTTTAGAAGGCTCACTTGATCAAACTATGGGACCATATTTCCCTGATTGCGGATTTAAAGGTCAGAAATCCGTCGAAAAAAAAGTTCTGTTTATTATGAGAAAGTACGTTTTTGTGTCTGACTTCATAACTTAAAATATTTTCTGCACTAATTAGAATATTTGGGGTCAACCTGTCGGATCATTCAGATTGAGTCCTAGAACGTGAAGATCCAAGCATTAGAATCAAAAGTTATTTAAGGTGGTTCGTATCAAAAGTTATTCAAGCTGTGTGCACTGTAAGAATATGTTAATTATAAGAAAACAAAATCTTTGCTCGCATTTTTAAAGTAAAAAAAAATACAAGGAGTTTTGAGAATACACTATGTAAACAATGCAGAATAATGCTATTTCCGATTCTTAACAATAAAACTGCTTCTTACATAAGCTGTTAAAACATATCTTGTAAAGATTCCATTGACGTGTATATCGGAGGACGTCAATTGAAAATATGCTTTATTCCTTTCTTTTAAGTTTCAATGCTTTGAAAAACTTACAAAATTACATTACTCTCCAGTTTTAAGTGTCATTTTCTTTAACATTTCTGGTCTTTTGTTTTTGAAAATTTCAAGTGTAAATTTTTTGATTTTTTAGGTTAATAATGTTTATATGCGTGACCAATGGCTACATTCTATCTCATGGAAGGTGAGTACCCTTACGCTGCTTATCATTACTAGTTATTATAAAATAAATACATTCAATAATTTTGAAATGTTAGAAAGTTTATTTTTTTGCTATGAAATAATAGTAGTACACTGAGAAAAAAGTATGGTCAAAGCTACCATAATGTGGTAAAATTTACCGTGTTTCTGGCTCTATGGGAACACAAAAAAAAACTCGGTAATTTTTACCCAAGCGCTTTGGTAATAATTTTGATAAAATTAACAATGAAATATGGTTTTATAATGTGTGGTAAAATTTGATAATTTTTATTGTGACACATTAGAGCAGTGTTTCCCAAAGTGTGGTACGCGTACCCCCAGGGGTACTGAAACAGTTTAGCGGGGGTAAGCGTTCTTATGTGAAATATCTTTCAAAAAACGAAAATTACAAAAGAAATTATTTAAAAACAAAGCTAGCCATTAAAATTTACGATTACGTATTTTTCTATTGGTTTTTTTGTTTGTTTGCAGAGTTAACGGTCAATAATTAGTGGTGTCAACAGCCAGTTGTGATTTTTAACTTTTGTGCAATTTTTTTATAGTAGAAAATACATTCATTTTTTTATTAGTGGTACACAGCGTTACGAAAAATTTAGAAAGGGTACAGAAAAGTCATAAGTTTGGGAAACACTGCATTAGAGCATGGCATAAAAACTATTTATTCGATTAAATTTACTTTTCAGTTTTGCATTCTTTACTAAATGTGTGGTAACAGGAAATGTAATTTTGAAAACCAGAATTTCCAATAAACCGTTATCATGTGACAGGAAAAATTACCAAATAAATCATTCATATACTGTATATTTTATTTTGTTTATATTAACCGGAATTATGGCAAGGTTTCAATACCGCAAATAAATTAATTCTATTGGGTACGTTTTGACCTACATTATAACAGTTTTATAAATAATGAAACAAATACCATTTCCATTTTGTATTACTGTAATAATAATTCTTAATTTTTTATTTTATATTTAGATATTTAACTGCATAATTAAAAAAATAAAATATTTTTGGAATTATAAGGCCACATAATTTGTTAGTTTATAAAATTATAATTACTTGCTATTTAATGTTTTTAGGAACTATATTATCTGCCTATATTACTTAAGAGAGATAATATAACATGCCATTAGTGAATTAAGTCTGTAAGTCTGCACTATATTATCTACTTGGATTACTTAAGAAAGATAATATAACAAGCCATTAGTGAATTAAATTTGTTTTCTTCATATTTAATGAATCCTTCGGCTTTGAATTATTATGCTAAGATATTCGTTATTATTTGAATTGTAATGGTTTATGTGCAAAAGTGGAAATTTTTTTGTTAATTGTTTAAAAAAGTACTCAATGGTTTTCGAGGAGGAAATATTTTCTTATAATTTGGTTCGCGCAAAGCATTTTCGAAATCATAATAGTAAAATTACTTCCTAAAAAATGGGAGGGGGGGGGGAATAAATTCTGTTAATCCATCAATTTTTGGTATCAATATTAAAATCTACACCAAAACTTATAATAGAAAATGTTACTCTATTTTAAGCATTTCGAGTTGTATTGGTTTGGATGGAATAATATTATTTTTTTTTGTTAATTCTTAAAAGGAATACAAAACGGCTTAGTTTTTGAGGTTAATTTTTTTTCCTTACACATCTTTATCCAAGCAATGGCAGTTTAAAGAGATAGGGAGAAAAAAATCTAGTCAATCTAGTTCATCCATCTTACAATTTCAAAACTAATATCTTATAGAAATCAAATTGTTAACATTTTGGATTATAATGGGTGACAACTTTAATATCATTAAAATAATAGATTTTAATTGATCAAAGAAACTCTAATAGCTTATTTTTTAATGTTGACAATCTATCAAATGTCAGTTAGTTACTAACATAGTGATTTGTAAAGATTTGAATACAATAATAATGTGTTTTTTTTTAAAATTAATGGTTATTAAGATTATCCAATGACTTAGTTTTCAAGTTGTGTCAAATTTGTTCTTATACCTTGATCCAAGGCAAGGTTTTGAAAAATCGGAACTGAGAACCTAGTTTTAATAGTTGAACGTGAAGGGAGGAGGAGAATTCAAATATTCTTCTTCTTCAGTGATGACAGCCCTGGGTGGGCCCTAGAATTTTCTAGGATTTTAGTTTCCTCTGTTTGGCGACTGTCCTCCAGGTTTGATTTTCAAAATGTTGATGTTCTTCTCAACATGGTCGATACACCTAAGACGTGATCTGCCTCTTTGTCTTGTACCTATAAGTTTTGATAAAAAATATTTTCTTGCAGTTTCGGTCTTCCTACATTATGATTAAATGTCCGGTCTATTTTAGTCTCTGAATTTTTATGCACTAGACAACATCAAGTTCTTTTAAGATTTTAGACAACTCTGAGTTAGTTGTTCTTCTCCATCAGCTGTTTACCTGAGTTCCTCCTCGGATACTTCGTAGAGGGTACTATAGTGCGGCTTTGAGAAGAACTCATCCAGACTAGAAGTCTAGAGCTGTCTGCTGCTATGGTTAAAAACTAGAGCACATTTCTAATGGGGGTGCAATGGAGGAATGAAGGTGTTGATTGGTTTACTCATGCTGACCTTATGCAAAGATCAAGACAAGACTTTCACCCCACACCCCTATTCGAAGTGACTTTTCCTCGTAACCATGGTACCACCACGACGCGAGACAGATGTCTGGAGGAGTTCTCCTGAAAGCCTCACTATACGTCTACGAAATATCGAAATCGAGAGGAAATATCGAAAGACGAGGAGGCGATTGCAATTTTTGAAAGAAGGGTTATCTTTCAAAAATTGCAATCGCCTCCTCGTCTTTTGAAGTCTAAGCCCAGGTCTCAGAAGCATAAGTCAAGACAGGTCTTATAAGAGTTTCACATAAGAGTAATTTAGTTCTTAAACTTAGAAAGTTGGTTCTCATATAATTTTTTCAGACTGTGAAGACATCTATAAATCAATTGTGATTCAAATCTTACAGTCCGTCAAATTTTACTGCTATCTTACGATTTCATTCGAATTTTCATTTCGATAAATGCATTCTAAAATGCTAGCTGACTGAGTTCTAACTATTTGAATGAAATATTTTTTTCTTTGGAAATTTCTTTTAGTTAATTGTTAAAAGAATACTCAATGAATACTCAAAAAGAATACTTAATGGCTTAAGTTTTTGATATTAATTTTTCTCTTACATATCGATCTGTTACATGTCTGTTTCGAAATCATAACAATAAAATCACATTTTTGTCGTTTAGCACAAAGAGAAAAATCAACAGAGCTTTTTATAACATTTATGTACAGTATTCACCTTTTAATTGTTAAATATTTTTATCTTCCTACCCGCCATAATGCATCCTGATAAGTTGAAAAGTTAACTGTCAAAAACACACATTCTAATATTTACATCTGGCTTGATTCCCGTATTTTATCTTAGAGGAGGATTTGGTCTTCATATTCTTACTGAGTACTTTTATGCTTCTAAGATAAAATTTATTATTTTTGATAAAAATTTCTTTCAACTTATATTATTTTTTTAACGAAATAACATCTTTTGGTGACAAAAATGTTTAATGTCCTTCTGTTTTATTTCATTTTATAGTTTTATGAATGACATAAAAAAAAACCCTACGATTTAGTTATTCTTACGTACGTTTATTGTTTTTTAGTGACGAAAATGAGGCGGATGTTGTTAGGAATAAAATATTTTTTAATTTTTTTGTCTATTAAAATAAAGTTACGAGAGTTAAACGACGTTTCACGCGTTTTAAATCCGTAAAGGTTTTAACCTTAGATACGGATATAACAATTTTGCTGTGTAGTGCTTCTAAACAGTTATTTTTCATCAGTAATTTTTTATCGTCTTAATTGTCTTGTTTACCTCCAAATATGATTGGATACCTACAATTGACGTTATTATTGGTAAATCGTGGCATTTGTTGGTTTAGAAGCCAATCAGGTTCGACACACACGCTGACATCACTTACAAGTATCCAATTAAATTCGGTTTAAATCAAATGGTTTGGAATTATCATTTCACTTTTTCTCGAATTGTAAGTATCCAATTACCGTCATTACTATTCATATTTCATTTTATAACCGTCGTTGAACAGCCGACCGAATTTTTAGGTTTATGAATACTAATATTCAACTCCGCTGCCTTGTAATTTTGAACCCAATCCAAAAGACAAGGGAACATCAGGATGAAGTACGGGAGAAATTTGCTTTCGTGGAGGACTTTTTGATGGAACTAACCAGCATTTGCGTTACATAGAGAGGAAAACCACAACCTCTCATGGTTAGCCTGATGGCAAGGGGACTGTTATCCACGATCCGTATGCCAATGAGGATATTTTAAGTCAGCACTGTGTTCGGTGCAAGTCGGATGCGGAATTTGTAATAATCAGCCACCCCTGAGATTCGAACCCGGTTCACCTCAATGGAAGGAGAACGCTCTATCCCCAGAACCCTCATAGCTCGACTATTCATATTGAAACATCTGCCAATTTAAGATAATTTATTTTAGTGATAGTTAATTGTAATGAAATTCAAATTTATCATTATTTGCAATTTTTTAAAATACTTATATTAAAGACCAAAATATATAGATAAATGAAGGAATAAATAAAAGGTGCTGTCTTAAGATGCTTATTATATGGAATTTATTTTTACTAAATGTTTGGGTATTAATCCAGGATTATACCCAATATATGCCCAAATAAACCATGTTTACCCCTATACTTAATGGATTATGTGGATAAATGCCCGAATAAATCATGTTTAAAAGTTTTCATTGTTTCTGAATTCTTTAAATAATTAACTTTAGTAGTTTATTTTGAAATTTTATTAAACGGCAGAAATAGAATAAAAAATTTGGAATCCGTTTTGGTGTTTATGTTTTATTTCAATTGCTTTTTTTAATTTTTTTTATTTATTTTTCTGCTATTTATAACGTTTTTAAGTTATTCTGAACTCTTTTGTGCTAT